GGATTGATTGCTCTGCTTTGTCCTCACCTCAGATTTCAGACTGAACTGTCGGGACACTTTTTCTACTTTTCACTCTTCTTTTCAGCCTCTTCGCCCACTATGCCACGAGCATCCGACTGGGACCCGAGTTACTCGACGGACGATGAGTGGCAGAGGCACAAAGTCACAAAGGACACTTTGAACATTCACACCCGTCATGTTCATCCCCCCGCACCCCGACCTCCACCGCGGAGAGTCCAAGACGACGAGGTCTATCGTCCTGACTACGGTCGTCGCACGACAGAGTTTCTGGCTCCTGAAGTGCACTATACAACAGGTCTCCATCGAACTCGCTCACAAGGTCATGCGCCTGCTCCCAACGTGACAATCTACAACACCAGTCACCTGGATAATGATAGTCACCCCCATGTACGCACTGAGCAGAAGGGTCAAGACGCCAGTCCCCGTGGCCGACGCATGCCTGGTGGGTTTGAGGACCTTGAAGATAATATCGCTGCACTGCGAGCAGACATAAAGAAGGAGCATCGATCGCGCTCTAGGCACGAGTATGAGCATCAACGTGCTCCCGAGCCGAACTACGAAGACAAGATCAAGTTGACACTTGCTGAGCAACGCCTTAGAGATCTCGAAGATAGGCTTGAGAGGGAGCGTCAGGAGCGATACCATCATCACTCGCCAGACCGCAGTTATGAGGACAAAGTCAAGTTGACACTTGCTGAGCAGCGGCTTCGGGACGCTGAACAGCAACTCGAAAGGGAAAGACGTCATCACTCGTCAGATGGCTACAAGGATAAGATACAAGAGGCACTAACGCAACAACGCCTTGAAGAAGCCGAGGAGAAGGCTGAACGAGAACGTTGGGAGAGGGAAACCGAGAGACGAGAAGAATTGGCCAGGCGCAGGGTTGAGCTTGAGTTCATCCATGATAGAAGGGACCGTGAGCAAGAAGCGGAAAACATCAAGAGAATGGAGGAGAGTATGCGTCGCGATTGGGAGTTGAAGCGAGAGAGGGAAGACCGAGACCGCGAGCGACGCGATATCGACGAGGAGAGGAAGAAAGCTCAAATCATCGCTGAGAACAGGGCGAAGATGTCCAGAGAGCAAAGGGAGGCTGAGGAACAGCGCGACAAGATGCTTGCCAAACTAGAGAGGGAGCAGAGAGAACAGGATGACGAACGCAAGCGGATTCTCGCCGAGGCCAAGCTCAAGCAAGCCAGAGAGCAACGTGAGGCCGAGGAACAGCGTGAGAAGATCCTTTCTGATATGGAGAAGAAGAAGAAGCGAGAGAACGAAGAACGCGCGCGCATCATTGCGGAGAACACGGCTAAGCTTGAGAAGGAGGCACGTGAGCGTGAACTCAAGGAAAAGGCGTTTGAAGAAGAGCGCAAGCGAATCATTGCTGACAACGAAGCCAAAGTAGCTAAACAGGCAAGAGAGGCAAAGGAAGCTCAACAGCGTGCTGTCGATGAATACCAACGGAAGAAGGCCAAAGAAGAGGCCGAAGCTCAAGCAGAGAAAGACCGTATCATCTACGAGTACGAGCGCAAGAAGATCCTAGACGCCGACAAGGAGAAGCGAGCAAAGGAGGAGCTCATCATGAAGCTCAAACTCGAAGAGGAAGAGCGAAAGCGCAAGGAAAAGGAAGAATTCGACGCCTTCACGCGAAAGCAGCAGGCAGCAGAAGAAGCCGAGAAGCGGAAGAAGGAGGCCCAAGAGAAGGAGCTCGAGGAGACGATGCGCAAGCGACTCGCTCAATTCGGCTTCCAAGACAACCAGATCCAGGCGCTCGTCAACCCGGACAAGCAGCGTGAGCTCCAGGCAGGCATGATGCCTAACCATCCTCTCCATCCAATCGCTCCTCCTGCGCCTCCGCCACCACCGCACCACCACCACTCTCATTCTCACTCGCACTCTTCTTCGCATCAGATCGCCATTGCGCCGCCGCCTACCTACGCCAAGGTACACAGAAGCCATCTCGACGTCGAGACGCTGCACTACTACGACATCCCCTACGAATTCGACGTTGTAAGTCCCCATCCATCAACCCTATAATCTCCTACCAAGTAATATACTAACATCCTACCCAGAACCCCGAATACATCATCGTCCTCCGCGAAATGTCCCAACGCGAAACTGACATCCTCTTCGAGCATACCCGTCGTCTGCGCACTGGACACGGTAGCAAATTGTTCATTGAATCGGAAGGGAGGGATAGACACGGTAAGAAGGAGTATGCTTTTGTGAGGAAGAAGTCGAGGTCTAGGTCGAGGAGTGTGGTTGGGGGTTCGTCTAGGCAGGCGAATATTAGTTTGGGAGAGATGTTTTATGGTAGATGAGGGGGTTGAGATGGGGGTTTATGATGCGTTTGTGTTTTGGAGGAGTTGGTTTCTCTTTGCTCATGACGACATATACCAATCTTCTCTCTAGGATTTTATACACATATATAAGTACCTTTGCTCGGTTGTTCTGTTACGTAGTTCTCTATGCATGGTTTTGAATTACCGTCGCTCTCGATTGGAACGCATGTTACTTGACCTATCTGACTCGCCCATACTGCTGTGTAACTCTACGCGCATGTTCGTACGTCTCAACGACTTCCAGCTCTTCACCGGTGCTGTGCTACGTCGATTCGGGTCTACGCTTTCTGGACGGACAGTGGTGATTCCTAATCCATTCCAGCTCGAAGACGTGCGACTTAATTTATGCCACGCGCGATCTTACCAACTGCCACTTTCACAGAATTTGGGGAGTGAAGAGTGTAGCACGTGCTTGTGCGTCATCCATGGATCGCACCTGCCTGACAGCTCTAGGGCTGACGCGTGGGGCCCACTCACGCCTCTTGCCTCGGCATGCGGTCGGCTTCTGATCTCCGGGAACATGACGCTCAGTTGCCGCAACACCATCACTCCGACAGACTCTCTCACACTTTCCTTCTAGCATGCGTTGATACCCCTCTTAGTGTACTTTTACTCCTTCTTGATTCGACATGGCGGAGCTCTGCGGGCCTTCAAATGCCCTGCAAAACTTCCAGAAGCACACGACCGTAGACCGGACGCTTCAGCAGGACCGCTTGGTCGGCAGACATTCACCGGCGCAGGTGTGTGGTTATACTCGAAACTTGCGCTTCGCCATATTGACGATAGCAGGGCTTTAGATCATCTCCGGGACCAAATGTAGGCGCGTTAGATAACGAGTTTGAAGCCTTTCAAGCCGGCGGCCGGCCTCTTCCAACACAAAACTTCCAACCTTTCGATCCACGATTCGCGCAACCTCCTCCCCAGTTTGCGCAAGCTCCACAAGCACCCGACTGGGCGGCCGACTTTCAACGTTTGAATGTTAGCAGTCCGCCGCCACAAGCGTTCCAGCAACAGCGACAGCAGCCGGCGAGCGCAGCGTCAGCATGGCATCAGGACTTCTTGAGGCAGCAGGCTCCGGTCGCACAGGCGCCTGCATTACAGCAAACCCCGTATGGAGGCATGTCGGGATACAACATGGGTGGATTTGGTGGGCAAGCATACATGCAGACCCCGACTTTCCAGAACGCCCAAGTCTCAGAGGTCGCGCAAGGGAAGCAGCGCGCCCAGGATGACGTACCAGCGTTTGACGAGGCGGCTTTCGAACAAGCATTTGCGCAGGCGCAACAAGACATGATGGAGACGGCAGAGGCAGAGCAAGTACACACACAGCCAGCGCAAGAGGCGCTGGATCTGGACCGGCCGGGTGAGATGGATCCTCTTCTTCAACGGATACGAGAAACGCGGCCAGGTGTGTAGTGTCCGTCTAACCAACTACGAGTGCTGACTGTGAGCTTAGCTGTCTACTCCGCCATCCAAGTCTGGAGCGAAACCGGTCTCGGACGAACCGACGAAGCAGTAGCCTACCTCGAGAACATGGATCGTTTAGAGAAGAGCGGTACTCTGGTTCAAGATGCGAACGAAGGGAAATGGATTGTCGATTCTCTTCAAAGAATCGTAAATCGCGATGCGCCTCAAGAAGTCAAGACCCGTGCCGAGGAGCTCATCAAAGCCATCAACCAACGCCTCATGTCACAATATCCACTCGGATCACGCGTCCAGATGAGCGAAGAGCAAATATGGCAGGATCTAGAAGCAGCAGGCTACATGCGAACGCCAGAGCCGCTACAACACTTCGAACAGAAACCCGAAGAAGAGCAGAAGCAAGAACAACCGCCAAGAAACGAAGACGATGAGATGGCGGCAACAGCAGGCCGGTTGCTAGAGCGCGTAGCAGACAACACAAGCGAGAAATTCCAGAACTCACAATTTCTGGGATTAATGCGCCGCCTGCGAGACCGCGAAGTAAGAGTACAAGAAGACAAGATCGTCGAAGTTGATGCCAGCGCTCCACAATCACAGTCACAGCCAACAAACACAATGACCACGCCCCAAACCACCATCTCCCAACAACCGTCCCAATCACAACACCCACCCTCATCAACGCAAATCCCCCAAATCGACCCCACAATCCTCTCCCACGCCGCCACCGACTTCGAAGCCCCAATCTACTACGGCGAAGAACCGCAACAACCTCAGCAGTATGCCCAGCCTCCTTCTCCTCCTCCTCCCCAAAATAATCCTCTCAGGGAGTCCCTAATAACTGATGAGATTTCAGAACAATATAGATACTACAATGTCCATGCCGCTTATCACCGGTGAGACGATGTTTACGGAGCCACGGCGTTTTATCCCAAGGCATGAGCAGGATGAGGATCTTTGGAGGGATGCTGTGGTGCCGGGGAGGGATCCGGTGACGAAGGGTAGGGGGTCTGGGTAGATTGTCGTGACTTGGGAGGGGCTTGGGGATATGCGTGGGAGATGTGATGCACAGGAGTAATCAACATATCAAGGGCGGTTGCACATAGGGCATTTAGCATTTGACCATCATCATTCGTATATTGAAAGCACAATTCTACGGGCGCAAGCTCATCTACTGCATCACTCATCAAGACCGCTAAGCTCTCAACCGACTTACTTCCACCCCTACTCTACGTTCCCTTCCCCCACTTCTTGCTCCGCCTCTCCATCATCAGCCGGCACCCAAATCCCCACGCCCTTCTTATCCACCCTCATCCCCTCCGTCCCCTGCACCTTCAACGTCTTATTAAAGTACCGATCCGTAACCTTCAGATTCGGCATAATCCAATCCCCCTCTACATTCGACAGCAGATTATACCTGACCGTCTGCCGACTCATAGGCAGCAGATGCAACGTCCGTAGTTTAGGTCCACTGAAACCAAAATCCTCGCTGGCTTCCATGGCGAGCTCGAAAGTGAGGAAATGCATGGTGGGGTTCTCGAGGACGTAGTCGAGGTGGATGAGAGAAGGGGTCGTGGGGGAGAGGTGGTGGGAAGCCAGGACGCGGGGTTCGGAGGAGGGGATTTGGATGCGGGGGATGGGGAGGGAGGATGTTACTGGGGAAGCGTTGGGGTCGGAGGTGCGCTTCCATGTTATGTTGAGAGTTGTGTCGAGGGCGGTGGAACGTCGTTCTTCCAGGTTGTTCTTCCGGATATCCAGGCTGAAGCCCCATTCGCTCAGGACCTGGGGTTCCATGGGGGTTTCTGCAATGGTGAATTCTTTGGTGACGTCACATGTTGCCCCGCCGTGGATGCTGTGGACTTGGACGGCTAGGTCGCTGACGACGAGCTGTTCGTCGGCGAAGGATGCGACTTTGGCTCGTAGGCCCCATTTCTGTGCTATGCCGAATGCATCGGGTGATTCGGGGTTGACGTTGCTTTCGGCCTCTTGGAGCTCGAAGTAGCTGGGCCATGGGTCGGGGTGCACACGTGCCATGAGGTCGTAGCTCGCTTCGAAGGGTGCGTTGAAGACGAGATCGGCGACCATGATCTTGGAGATGGGTATGTCGCGGTCGCTGAGGAGGTGGTATAGTACCTTGACTTCCAAGGCGTAGTCTGCTGGATCTGCGGGTGCAGTGAAGCGGATTCTCTCTGTTGTTCTTGCACCTTGGGCCAGCTTCCCTACTACATGGCCTGGGAGGTCTACATCCGTTGACCCGTCAAGTGCTGGCGGAACTTCCTTCATGGGTGACTCTGCCGGACGCTCGACCCAGGTGTAGCTCAGCGTATCTTTGGAGCGGCCCAGTAATCGCACCTCAAGGACAGCTTCAGTGTCCTCTTCTTCTTGGTTCATAATCTCTATTGCCAGCGTCACGGACTCATCTGTGTAGTACTGGTTGCGAACGTCCGGTAGGTTGATTTCCATCTTTGGCGGCTTCGGTAGTATGTGCACCGACATACCAGATCCATGCTTCAATGATCTTGATTTGATCTTTGTGTCTGACTTGATCCACCAAACTGGATGAGTTGGAGTCTCTGGGTCTGTGTCTGAGCAAACGAGATCAAACTTTTCCGTGCTGACGCCGAAGACGCATGCGACGACATCGACATCCCCAGACTCGCGCAGAATGAGTGGGAGACTGTACACTTTGGTCTGCCCCGGGTGGAGCGTGAGATCAGCTGTTCCGGCCCAGCGTGGTTTTCCGGTAGCGGAGTGCGTCTCTTCTAATGTACAGGTGTACATGATTGAGGTACTTCCGGAGGGTTCGTCGGCGTTGTGATTCAAGCGGACTTCAGCCAAACCACCATTGAACTGGTACTGGAGAAAAGACAGCGTGATTGGGGCGGAGCCTGGTCGAGCATTGGAGCTGATAGCGAGTTGTGCATGAAGGGGTTCGCCAACATTACCTTCGGCTTCGGCAAAGGCGAAGGACGTCGACACTGCAAGGTCAGCCTTTAAATTTTGGAAACGAGTTTCGCACTTACAGCAGGATATGTGGTCTTTGGCATTTAGACTCACGCTCACCTTCTCGGCAGTCGCATCCGAGAAGACGTCCAAACATGTCATCAAGTCGTACTTGTATTTTGTCTTGCCAGGGATCGCTGGTGGTTGTTAGTGAAGCTTCGTGTGAAAGACGAATAACACTGACTTTGACTATACAGCTCCCACTCCGTTGCAACATATGATTCTCGGCTCTGTACTCGCAGTGCGCACTCATGCAGAGTCCATACTACCTCCGAAGCTAAGCTCCACCATCCTTCTTTCCGCCATGCCATCGTTTCCCAGAGTGATCGCAGTACTTTGAAAGCATCGTCAAATCTTTTCACGTGTAGCAATGTTCGAGCCACCTCGAGTTGCAACTGATCTACTTTCCGGTGTTGTCCCCGAGCTCTAAACTCAGCTATCGCGGCATTAAGCTTGGATGAGATGTCTTTCCAGTGCTCGAATCCGTTGCCGATGCCAGGTATAGGATACTCCTCGTGAGGTTGCGGAACGAGGTAGTGATCATAAATCTGATTCCGAGCCGACACCTTGGCGGCTGGAGACATGCCTGGTGGTGTTCGGTCTTCCTCTGGCATCTCTCTGGCAAGAATGTAGCGCCTCTTTGCGTGGTCACTGGCAATCTTGTGCCAATATCCGGCATGATGTAACAGTTCCCATGGTGGTAGTCTTTCTCCTACTGGGAACTGTTTCTCGGGCTGAGAGTATAGCGAGTTTGGGATGTCTGGCAAGGGATCTGTGTCCGGGACAGGATCTCGTATCTTGAAGACTGGCAATTCTGTTCGTCGTACCGTCTCAGCCATCACTTGGGCCCATGTAGATTCCCAAGCCTGCCACCCATAGTTGTTAGTACCCTTGCCCCGGCGATCGAGCACGTCTTGTAATCTCCACTTGTATCGTAACCAAGACTGGACCGCGGAAGTAGGGAAATTGTTCCATAGTTGACATCGAATGTGTCGTAGTGCGATGATATCTGCTAGCAATCGTATCTCGTCCCATCTTGGAGACCAGCTTGCCGTTGTTTCAAACAGGCCCTCGGCACCAAACAATGCCTCCAAAGCAGCCCCGTAGTGTCGCTGTGCAGCATCCATCTCCTGGCGAAACTCGGCAAGGATACCAAGCTTGAAGTCATAGCGAACACCCCACCCAGGATACGACAGCGTTTGGGAGGTGCCACGCGTTGGCGGAGCTGTGGGAGGGGGAATTGTGCCTCGTCCCTTCTTCCTCCGCGCATGTTTTGTGAGGTCCCGGTAATACTCGACACAGACGGGCTGTAATATGGCCAGGATTGAAGTGACGAATGCCTGCAGCTCGACCTTGGATGTCCTTGGAGGCAGAAAGAAAAGTGAATTCTTTGGATCCAAGCCTGTAGCCCGCCGTATCGTCGCCAGTCGCTCTTCAATGTCCGGTGCCTCGATTATAGTCTTGTCACTCAGCAATACCACAACGTATCTAGTTCGGTAGTCTGACTTTTGTATCTGGCTCTTGATCTTGTTGATGTCCGTCTTCAGCTGATTATCGTGCAAGCTGTTCGTGATGGGGTCTGTGGTGAAGTTGAAGAAGGAGACGAATACGGAAGGGACGTAGTGCTGGTGCTTGGCGACCCAGGCAGGAGCGATGACGCCGTCGGGGAAGGAGGGCGACGCTGGAGAGAGGGGAGATATGGGCGAATGCAGGACCCAGGACGTTGCGGCTGCGATGGTGGGACTGCCTGGAGGGGTTGTCTCGGAGTTTGAGGGCGCATCTGCCTTTTTCGGGGGCAGTTGGAAGTTCTAGCAAACATCAGCCCATGGCTCCTTCCCGTGGCATAATCGCAGGCGCATGTACCCTTCCTACACTCCGTATTCTGAAGCCATGCGTGATGCCTCGGCGACTGAAGTCGCGACCATTCCACGGCGCATTCGTGCCGTCTGCACTCAGAAACTCTTGGAGCAGTTCATTTGCCCGGTCACCTTCTGCTGGCGGTAGATCTGAGCTGATAGTTGTGACAGCGCGCCCAGGAAGCACATGCTGAACCGATGGAGGGGGATCGGCCTCTTTGCTGGTCGCTAGGCCTGAAAGGACGATGAACGGTAGGTTGTGCGCAGTGAAGTCTGATGGGTATGCCTCCATTATAACTCCATGCCCGAGTCGCGTGGTTTCCAGCTTGTATCTCACAAGCGTGGTGTCGACGTGGTGCTGCTTTTCGGAGTTGGGGGAGAGCGGAAGTGCTGCGGAGTGGATTTGCTCGTCGCACGAGAATCGCAAAGCCAGACGTGGGCTTCCTAGGTGCTGTATCGAATTGGCGATATCAAGCGTGTTTGTGGCAGCATGGAGATAGTGTACAGATTGTTCGCGGCTTCGTCATCGATGGTCGCGGGTCGACACATGGGCGCGGGAAGCTAGCTGAACCCTTGCCATGCACGTTCTCTATGCCGCCCGATCCCTCCACACTTTCTCTCCGACACTCTACAGCTATACTTTTGCGATCCAGCTTCGCCGCTACGCGTATCCACACCTCCAAATACCTTTGACAGCGCAACCAGTCGTTGTACTAGCTGAACGCGCTCGTATCGATACTCCCGCATCTTCACCACCTTACGCTCGCGCTGGCCAGAGGCTCTGACGCCATGGCGGGCCAACAGCAGCAGATTATGGATACCATCTTCAGCATGAAGAGGAAGATGCTGCGAAAAGACGACTGTAGGTTCATTCCTACCTCGACACAGGCCTAGCTAACACTGCGCAGCCGACACAGAAGACTCCGAAACACCCTTAAACAGCAACAAGCAGGATTTGAGGCGCAAGGTCCATTATGCGCGCGCCAGCGACCCAGACTTCCTTTCTGACCCGCGACCCTACAAGAAGGTGCGTCTTGGCTTGTGCGACTCGGGTGTCGACTGAAGACTGACGCCTCCAGCGCATTGAGCACGCCGGCTACCACAGGTCCATCCTACAGCGCAACCCTCCACGATACGATGCGGACGGTGATGTCGTCGAAGTCGAAGAAGATTACGAAGACGAGGAAGATGTGGAGGCTGTCGAGGAGAATCCTTACGGCAACATACAGCTCGAGAGCCTTCTTGCGCCGCTCACCTCGGCCGCCGACCTACCCAACCACCCTGCCCTGAGCGTAGCATACTCCTCGCGGCATCTCACAGACCTCGCGAGCGAAGCGGGAGCCCTCTCTCGAAAAGAGCAGGTCACCAACGCGCGGGCAAAGACTCTATTCGTGAAACTGCAGGGCGACTCCACGTTTGCGCCAGCTGCCCTGGCTGCTATGGGCAGAGCACCGTTCCAGGAGCCATGGGCTAGCAGCGCAAATGGGCGCACGAGCGAAGGAGAGCAACAGCAACTCCACGATGCGGAAATGCGCGAGACCATAGAAAGTCCCCATGACGTAGACATGGAGGATGCAGGCCAGCCAAATGGCACTAGTCGACAGACCGAGACCAACGGCGACTCCAGTTCAGAGAGGGTCAATGGCGCACATCCTGTGACCAACGGAACGCACGCAGGAGATGCAGAGCAGGCGCAAGAGAATGGAGAAGGAACGCCCGAAGACGCGTCTGATACCGCGTCGCAACAGACACATAGGATGACGACGCGCAGACGAGCCCAGGCGCATGCAGCCTCGACCCCTTCCCCACCTCATTCGCCCTCGAGTGGTGTCGGCGCAATACATCCTCTCTTCATACATCCGTCAGATTCGTTGCCAGATCGCGACTTTGGTCTCCCGCCGAACGAAGCCGAGGAGACGCGCATGCTCCTCATGGCCTACGTACAAAAACAGGAGGAGGTCGCACGGATAACATCCGACTTGTATCAAGGCCTGCTACAAGCCGACCGCATGAGGCAGGATGTATACAAGTGGTCAAAAGCGGAAGGCCATGTAGGAGAGATGAGCGATGGCGAGGACTGGTATGACCCCGAGGAGTGGGAGTTGGATGGTGAACTCGCAAAGGGTCGAGATGAAGAGGAGGACGATACAGCCGTGGCTGGCAAGAAGAGCACAAGGCAACGGCGGAAGCCGGACAAGGATGATCGATAGACTCGACCGCTGAAGCGGCAGGCCCCACGGACGCACCCTGAGTATTATCGTTGCGCGGATCCATAAGACACGAATTCATGCTACGTTCTGGTTAGGACAGAATTTACACGAGTTGGGTTGCTCTTGCCTCAGTGAGCGGACCACGTGCTTTCGCGTCAACATCGTGCTTTCCATCCGCCGACGAAACTTCCTCCACTTCACAACCGCCACTCGCCATGGAGTACGTTCTGCGTTGCAATGAGCTCAAGTGTCGATCGCAGCTGCATGAACGCGCCGTGGTTACTACGTGCAGGTTCGTCCATCTCACCTGCCTCTGACGCTTTTCGCTGACCATCGCACAAGTCACGTCTTTTGCAGCAATTGCGCAGATGTCACCGGGCTGTCGAGGTCTACAAATGCGCATCGAACTTGTCCAGCATGCAACTCATCGCTGCACAACCCCGACGATGTGGTAGTCGCAGGTCTCAACCCATCAGAAGACTACAAGACGTCGGTACTCAGCGGCCTTAGTCCAACAATCATCATGGAGTGTGCCAGTCGCGGCTTGGCATTCCATAGCTATCAGACGTCGCAGGAGATCATCTATCAGGAGCACCTCGCGAAAGGCTTGACTGGCAAGTACGATACGCTCAGTCAGCAGATGGATCAGCTGGTGCACGATGCGAATTCGCAGATCAAGGCATTGCAAGACAAGATGCAGGGTTAGTCATAGCCTCTTCCTTTGAATGCTCCATTATTAACAGTCGTGTAGCCATGCAAGCCGAGCAGGAGGATCTCGAGGACAAAAACCATCAACTTCAGAAAGCCTTCAAAGAGAAGACGAAAGCGCATGCGCAAACCCAAGCGCACTACCAGCAATTGAAAAGCAAGGTCATGGCAACGGAGGTAGCTCATGCTGCTGGTGATGAGGCGGCGTACACGATCCAGACTGCTCGTGGAGACCGGTTCATCGACCGCCTTCCTGGCACGTGGACCGGAACGGCCAACTACAGTCAGATGAACATGTCGCAGCAGGCCGGTGGTGGTAGACCGCACAACAGAGACTTTAGTAGGAGTTCTGGGAGCAGTGGACGGCAGCAGCAGGGTGGTGTGCATCTTGGGCCTCCGTTCGATCCACAGTTGCAGAGACGAGGACTGGGTGTGAGGAACAATACTGGTCGTGAGTTGTTCTTCTTTGAACGTGGAGAGCATCGCAGGCTGATACAGTGAAGACACAGCTCCAGTCGGGACGCCTTCGCAAGCTCATAGGAGCCAGCTTCCAGTCCTTGGTGGTTCACGCCAGCCTCCTCCGTACTTGAGTCAGGATGCGCATTCCTCGTACCAAAATTCGCCGATGGTCAGGCAGCCTCTTGCCAGTGGTGCGCGTGGTCTGGGCACCTTCATGCTTGGAGGTAAATCGTCAAGGAGAACTGGTGGCACCGCCAATACTGGTCCGCTAGGAAGGTGAATCGAGGAGTGTGTGCCAGGTGTTGCTGCGATGGGGCATGGGAACTGAGCATGGCGGAGCAATTGGCCCTCGTGCCAGAGATCTGTATAATTCGGAGAGTGCATATACGTTCAGTCTGCCATCTCATCTCATCATGCAATCATCATCTTGCTGGTAGACATCAAATCGAAAGTGCTAGACCAATGCTTCTGAACCAGCGCTCGTCGTCTGTACTCCTTGATGCTCCGCACCTCCGTCACAATGTCGGACACACCGACTTACTGTCGGCCATACCCTTCGCCAACTTCTTTCCACTAGTGACGCAAAGCACTCAATCAGGTCCTCGATCTCTCAGCTTCGCATTACTTCCCCATTCACGCATAGTGGCTTTTAGTTGATCGACATGGTAGTGTCAGACCTACCACGACTTGTCCAGGCCCCGAAGTCCCAGTATTCGCAACTCCGCTCCCACCCCCATACAAGAAACAGAGTCAGGTCTGCAGACTACATTAAAACGAAAACTCGTAAAATAGGTGAGCTAACGTTAACGTAGGCTCTAGGGTGTTCGGTTTTTTCCCTAGGTTGGCGTGCTCCGCAAAAGGTTTGTTTCGGCCTTCACTCTCGATCTCAAGTACTCATGCGCTTTGTGGGATTTCATTAGGTTTAGGGACGATCACGTGGTTACCAGTCTTTCGCAGAAGTCCCTCAAAAGCTCATTAGGAAAGTTATCTGATACAGTTATTAGGCTAAATATCTTCGAAATCAAAGGTGATATATTTGATGAGCGTTGATTACAGGTCTTCGGTGCTCATTGTATCCACTACCACTACGCACTGTTGTTGTAGGCGGAGCCGAATGCATCCTTCCTATACCGAATGAAATAAGCGTTGGCCTTAGAGTGCTTGTTGCAACTCCATGCCAAGGCTATTGTCAGTAATGATGGGACATACAGGCAACGCACATCGCACGGGCATATGTGGGACAATAGAATGAAGAGTTGGCAGACGATTGATCGCGATGACTTCCTTCATGACGGTAAGAGCCGATGAGTAGAAAGAGATGTATAAGTAGATACCCGCCATACAGCAAACCGAAGGACATCCGCATCAAAGAGCACTGTCAACACTCTCCTACAAGACCGTCATCCAACCTCAAGACCTTGCTTCCTATACCCAACATGAAGAACTCCCGGCTCTCCATCCTTCCGCTACTGGGCTTCTTCACTACATCCACCTACGCCGACTTCGTCATTGGCAGATACGCCGGCTCCGAGCTCGGCGGCACCTTCTCCACTCCAGGCCAACTGCACATCATCGGGACGTGGAACAGCGCAGGTACATGTCACTCCAACTTCGTCCACTCCCAGCCACCTAACACTCAACCCCCAGGCATCGAAGGCCAAGAAAACGGCTTCGGAACCGGCGACTTTTGTTCCGCCGGCACCTCCGCCGGCACCGGCAAACTGAACGACTAAAAAAACAACAATTTCTGCGACCTAGAGATCCCTAGCTGCCTCTCTACTATGCGCATTGTTAGGTCTGCGAGGAGTTTCACGGGCGACTGTGGCGCAGCTACGAATGACGCGGATCGTGACCACTCGGTGGACTATGGGGTGCTGGTTGATATCATCTCGTCCCCGAATGCGGCGGCTGGTAATTGCTACTACGGAAGCGCGCAGCTGAAGAAGGACTGTACGAGTACGGGGAGTGTGACGTATTAGGCGGCTGTTGTTTGTTTGACGGGGGGTTGTGGCGGGCCGTTGGAGAGCGACTTTGAGCCTGGGGCTTGAGAGGGGTTGGCGAGGCCGTATTGGCTTGGAGAGGTGAGGTGAGCGGGGCGATAGCTTGGTATGGTAGCTCGTTGCGACGAATCCTGGACCCTGTTCACTGTTGTCTGTAGTCAGCTTGTCTTGGTAGTTAATGGATTGACAGGAGAGACGAGGATTTGTGACAACTGCCTGACGACGATATTGACCTTGATATGTGATGTAGGGTAAAAGTCATAACTGCCTGACGACGACATAGATCTTGATACGTGATATTGGGTAGATACGGCGATTATGTGGCTGCCACGCCCACCTTAAAGTCTCGGATCGCAAAAGTGCGTTTGCGTGCGAGATGGTTGTGTATTGCGGAAGTCGTGAGCGACTCGTGTCGCTGGAAGTAGAGCTTCAGCTATCTTCCGAGGTTCTCTCACAAGACATGAACCTCACGTCGTCCGGATTGAACAACTATAGTCGACATACTGTAGTGCTCTCAACCGTGTGGAGAAGATACGGCACTGCCTACCAATCTGCTTAGAGTCACAATATGTGACCCAAGTCTCAGGTGTCGCACGGCTGCGGCCGCGTATCATCGAAGAGTCCGGAATCTTGCTCTATTGTTGAGGAGAAGAGAAGGGCGGTGTGGTTAGTCTCGAAAGACATCTGGAAGAAGAAATGCTATAAACTAAGGAGACCTTAGATATAGTAACAACGTCTAAACGACCGAAATAGTCACCGGAGGCAACTGTTCCCGAGGAGTAGAGGTTGGCTTGTCGGCCCTGCTCACTTAAGAGCAATGGCTAACGGGGCCTCGACGTCTCACTTAAGAGCTGACGAGGTGCAGGTAAACTTGACCTGCGCAAGGATGGAGAAGAAATGCTATAAACTAAGGAGACCATAGATATAGTACGACGACTAACCCACCCAAAACAGTCGCGTCTGGCGACTATTTCAGAGAAGCAGCGGTCGGTTGTCTCACCGTGCTCACTTAAGAGCAATGGCTAACGGGTGTATATCTCGACGTAGAGATAAGGTGCAGGTATACTTGACCGGCACAAGGACCGCAAGTCCCCAGCTACCGAGGGTCGGCTTGCACGGTGTGCGTTGAACTGGGAAGTTTGCGGTGCAGAGCAAAAGAGCGACGGTCGAAAAGTTGTATATATCGGGTAGGCGCTAGCCAGCGCACGGACGGATAGCGTAGCGATGAGGTGAGAAATCCCAGTCCGTCTTTTGTCATGTGCTGCTGCTATCAATGAAAATCGTCTAGACACGTTAGATGTCAGGCGTCTTTGTCGCTCGTAGCAGAGAGATGTGTGAACTGAAGCAACACGGAAGGTGCGCAGCAGCGTCACGATAAAGCTACAATTAGAGTGTGGCGTCAACGCCTCCACAGCCACGGCCCCAGCCGCAGGGCACGCACCACGATCGGCTTACGTACCCCTCCGTGATCTCGTTCACGGAGTGCGGCTTGCCTGCCGTACAGCGTTGTCATCATTGCTCGCAGGAGGATGCACTGCGATTGACGTTCAGAGCCGTCGCATACATTCCTACGACAAAAGCAATGTTTCCTGAGATGAACGAGCGTGTGGAGACCTGCGACGTCAGGCCGTTCGTGCTGTTGATGGTGGTGTCAGATGGCGAAGGGTGTCTGGACTGGGTCAACTTCGGAGCTGGGTATGTTTCACCAAAAGAAAAAAAAAACGCTTGACCGCTGAGCGTTGTACGAAAATGCCGCGTGGAGGATTGATTCATGCATGTCACTCTCATTTCGGTGTCTGGTGTGATGTCTGCGTCCTGTTGCGCTGTTGCGGGCGGCTGCCTTCGTCGGGTTGTCGATGTTTACTGAACAATCCAGCATGTTTGTTACAGATATGCAGCCAGATATCTGAAAATTCGATGTCGACGACATAATGTGGATACTTTGAGTCAGTGGGTTGTCTGCAGCCTTGCTGTTCCTGTCGATACACAAGCTTCCCGCCCCTTGCTTCACCAGGTAGTGGGGAATGCCAAGCGGATCTCGAACCACGCTACCAAAAGTTCCGCGAAGCCTGACGTGGTCTGTGAAGAACGGGGTCGTGTTTGGTGAGGCGGCTCGATGGCACCGATCTCTTTGTGCTGGTGCACGTTTGCAACTTCAATATACTAACAACTGTGATGGCGACGATCACAACCAGAAGCGCTGTGACTCCATTGTGGTGTTGGGTTGTTTCTTCCACCACTCAAGTGCAATGTTTTCGCGCTGGGACATGCCCGCGCGCAACTTCACCAGATGTACCATCGTGGTCTCCTGCCATCAATCTGTGTGAGCGTTGCGAGGACACAACGTATGTCGCAGCCGTTACTACTTGCTTTGGGTGTAGAACACGGGATTTCTGGACATGACAGCTGTATCCGCAACCTTCTTCCAACCAAAAACACTTGACATGCTGCAGATTAGGCTTAGCTTCCACGCCTACGTTGTTCTCCATGCTGTGCGCACAAACACCTCCCATTGGAGGAACTTCCAGGTCACCTCTTTGAAACGCATCGCTCTTGGCGTAAAAGGCGAAACGGGTAGAGACCGCGCGGATCACGATTCGCGAATCCAAGGACTGTTTCAAACAGATGAGCATAACCGCCAAGCACAAAGCCCATGAGGGTAGGGCGGAGCCGTGTGGGTTCAATCTATATGCGATTTCGCCAAACCTGCAAGTTTCCGCAGTTGTCCCGACGGCAGGCATCCAGAAGATGTCGGAACAGATCCGTAGATGGTATAAGATGCAGCGGGAGACGCACCCAATAATGCGTACTCACCATCGAGCCAACAACAGTCTTTTACAGTCTTTCAGCTTTCTCATCTTCTTTCAATCCTTTGCTCGACGCATTACATTCGCTAGCCGAACCCAACGTCCTTCTCTTCATTCCAACAACTTATCAGCTCTCCAGCTTTTCCAATCCCAACCAATCCAACTATCAACATGAAGGCCTCCGTCGCTGCTACCATCGTGGCTTTCGCCGTCGCCGTCTCTGCCGGTCCCAGCAAGCCTTCTCCCATGAACTTCTTCAACCTGAACAAACGGGCGAGCTTGCCTATCCCGGCCTCCAAGGGCTCCCAGACGCTCAAGGAGCCCATGGAGATCACTGGCACCTTTGATGGTGGTCTCAAGACCTATGGTCGTGGCGTTTCTTGCACTGGCCAAGCCGAAGGCGGAGATTCTGACGCGGTCTTTATTCTAAAGGTATGTCACGGCTGTAGGAAGTGCATGTGAGACATATACTGACTTCGTACCTCTACCTCTACAGGATGGCGCCACCTTGAAGAACGCGATTATCGGAGAGGACCAGATCGAGGGTGTCCACTGCGAGGGCAGCTGCACCATTGAGAACGTTTGGTGGGCTGCTGTCTGCGAGGACGCGCTTTCTCTCAAGAAAGATGGTGACGCAACTGGTAAGAGGTGTTTGCACATACTTCCGGACTGAGCTAACGTCTTCTAGTGATCGGTGGAGGAGCTACCGGCGCTGAAGATAAGGTCATTCAGCAGAACGGCGCTGGAACTGTCACTATCGACGGCTTCACCGTTGACACCTTCGGCAAGCTCTACCGTTCCTGCGGTAACTGCAAGCAATCCGCCGAGCGTCATGTTATCATGAAGAACGTCAAGGCCTCCAACGGCAAGCTCCTTGCTGGCATCAACCCTAACTTCGGAGACTCCGCCACGATCGACGCTACCAACTGTGCCAGCTCCGTCAAGGTCATCTGCGAGGAGTTCAAGGGTGTTGCTTCTGGCAGCGAGCCAGAGAGCGTTTCCAAGGGCCCCTCCGACTCCTGCATCTACAAGGAGCCTCTCTCTTCTTGCTAAGCTGCCTTGAGCAAGACTTGAACAACATGTGGAGGACGAATCGGCGGGCATCGGTGGATTTATTGGATGGTGGGGATGCAGTGCATCTGTTGTGCTGGCTCTGGAAGCATTGTACATACATTGACTTCTTTCTTGTATATATTGGCGACATAGAGTTGCGCGAATCGAGAAGGTTGCTCTACGAACATCTTTGATGACAAGTGATGCCTGATTGTATGGGTGTGGTGTTGAGTCCGGAAGTCGCGAATCGCGCGACTGTAGTCGTGGGTGTAATTCCTGTCGCACTCTACAAAGATGTAGTTAGCAGCATCATTGAGGTAGATGCATACACAACAACGAGACTTGTTTACATGTTATGATTTAATGGCGTATATGCAGCAAATGACAGGGACTCCTAACCTCCTCCAGGGCTGGTGCTGATGACGTGGGCGCACTAGTCTCAATGGGGCGATGACAGTACCGAGGCGACACGCGTTACGCGCCGCGCGACACCTCGAAAAACGCGGAAGTATCACGCCATTATGCCAAAGAAATTATACCACAAAGGTGCATTGTATCTACTACTTGCTGACACACCGACAGTGCTTCTAACCGTGGTGTAGAGCTGTGCCGATGTCATTACCGCCTCTTCGTGTAACATCCTTTCTCTCTTCTCTCATCCAATCTTCGTCTCTAGATTGTCACCAACCGTCAAAATAGCCAACTACTCTTCCACCACAAAGTCGCTCTCCTCCAGCCGAACTCCGCTTAGCATCCTACCCAGATGGGTCTTCTCGACGCCTTCTCCTTCCCGCCGGATCTTCATGAGTAGCGCTCGCAGGAAGGGCACAGGAGACTTCTCCAGCCCCCAGATCCCAGCTGGCGGATCAATGA